TAGAAATAAGGGAAACATAGGACGTGTATTTCAATATTTTTTCCTAAAAAGTAACCATGATCTTAAAACCTTGAATTGGTCACTGCTCATGTCTATTATGCAACTTAGTCTCCAAAAATATGAACAATCGTGATCTTCCATGTCTATTAACTCTTTCTTTCTCATCAGTCTAATTAGGAAAAATGAAAAGGGAAGGAAAAATAATAATTTGTTCTAGTGCATTCATTTCAGTTCTCCAATTCAAAAGTGAAAAAATCCTCCTTCTCGTTGGTTTGCCTTTTTGGTAATTACAATTGTATGTGAAGGTATATTGTTTCTCCTTTTTTTTTCTTGAACCAATCCAAAGATCCGATTGACTATTGCATTGAAAAAAAAATAACGCCTTTGTTGAGGAATTTTAGCTCGCAATTACGCTCTTTGATTGATACACGTTTATGTTAAAAATAGTGAGCACCCATAGCCGTAAAATTCTGGATCCGCCACTGCTAATACAACAACTTAATTACTAGTGATAACATATTCAAATTAATTTATTTAATTTGAATTTTATTTGTTTTTATTTTCGTATTTAATATTGGAAAGAGAAAATAAAAGACACATTTTTTAATGGAAGTTACCAAGGTAATTATCTAACTACAATTTAAGAATTTTAATTTTACAAATCTTTCAAAAAGGTAATAATCTCAACTATTACTTGAAATTCCATTTTTTTTTCTCCATAATCTCCAAGAAGCTGATAAACCCACGTATTTTTTCGTTTTTCAAATACAAATCGTGTTTGAATAGGTCTATACTACTAAATCATCAACTCCTTTTCAACTTAAGTTTGATACTCTTTATTCAACTTTTTTTTTTTTCCAATTTCATAATCGATTTATGTTGTGTTTTATCTTTCAAAATTGAAATTATGAAGAAAAATTTGAAAGTTTTTGCTACCCAGAAAAAGAGAACCAAAATCAAAATATCTTTTTTGTTCAATTTTTTTCATTAACTGTATCGTTCTCATTTGTTCATCTTGTCTTTATTTTTAAATTTATATATTTTTATTAACTAACACATTTAATAACTTCAATTTTTTCAGCAATTGTTATTTGTATGCATGTGTTTTTGTTGAATTTATTACTTACGGTATAGTATTAGATTTTCAACCTTGACCTCAATCTAATATATCCTTGTTGTTTCATATATTATGTTGATATTAAATCTGGTATTAAAAACAAGTTTTTAAAATTTGGCCAAAGTCATCTGTAGCCACTCAAAGTTGTCCTCATTATTCATTTAGACACCTAAACTACACCTAGTACCTATTGAACACCTCTACCACCCCAGATTTGAACCATCTAAGCATTTTTTTTATCACTTTTCATAAACGGCCAAGGCGCGTGTATTTAAGCTCCCACGTGTATCCGACGTGTATAGAATAACCATTTAACAACTACCACGTGTATCCGACGTGTATTTGTAAATGTCTTAATTGGGGAAGATTCCTAAATCGTTAAAATTGACAGAACACTTCTCTCTCTCTCTTCGCAATTTTTTCCAAATTGAAGCTCTCCATCTTCGCGATTTCCTCCAGATTGAAGTTGGATTCGTCTTGTTCGTGTTACAATCTTGAAGATTTCCTTGTGTAAGTTAGGATTGTTAATGATTTTTACATGCTTTGTTAAATGAATTCCAAAAAGCTAGGGTTTTGTAAAAATATAGGGTTTGTGATTTTTGCGAATATTTTGTCCCTTCTTTACTATTACCCAGAAAATATGCTTTAAAACTTTGTTTTTTAGTTGTTGTATGGGATATATGAGTATATTCCGTTATCTTAAGCTAGGGTTTGTTTGATATTTTGTAGGGCTAACAATTGACCATGGAGGAAAGCGTTATTTTTACAAAGATTTACCACGGTGGAATCTTATCCGAGATATCTGTCCCTACTTATGTTGGAAACTGTGTGTCTGCACTCAAGTATATTATGAAGGACCACTTTTCCATTTTGGAACTACTGTATTATACTAAAGAATTAGGGTATGAAACTGTTGGAGGCTTTTATGTGAAGGATTTATTGAATAAAAAATGGGTCCTAATTACAACTGACCAACATCTCCTACACCTAATTAAAGACTTAAAACATGAGGACACTTTTGAAGTATTTGTCTGTCATGTATTAGATGAACCCTTACTTGACACTGAGGGACCTAGAGGCTATCTAACTAATGTTGGTGGTGAAGGTGTTGATGTTGACCTTGGCGAAGAGGGTGAGGCTGTTAACTTAGGTGGAGAAGGTGAGGTTGTTGACCTAAGTGGAGAAGGTGAGGCTGTTAACCTTGGTGGTGAGGGTGTTGATGTTAACATTGGTGAAGAGGGTGTGGATGATAACCTAGGTAGAGATGGTGTGGATGATAACCTAGGTGGAGAAGGTGAATCTGATTTCTTGATTAGTGATTCAGATCTAGATATACCTTCAGAAGATGGTTCAGATATTGATGAGGAGTTGAGAGCTTTTAGACAAGAAAGAAGAAACAAAAAACAGAGAAAAAAGGCTACTGAATTTGAAGAAATACCAGTTGGAGAGGCTGGTGGTATAGATAGAGGCTTTGAGGATATTGGAAAAAATAAAACTGACAAATATGCAGGAAAATTAGGTGGAGATGAGGATTATATTGATAGCTCAGACTGTTGGAGTGATGATAATGATGAACAACTAGATGTGGATGCTGTTAGGGGAGTAGATATACCTACTAGAAGGAGAAGCAAAAAAGTTAGGTATGATGAAGATTGTGAAGTTTCAATATTTGAGCTTGGAATGGTCTTTGAGGGTGCAAATCAGTTCAGGAAAGCAGTGGCAGATTATGCTGTAGAGTACAGGAGGCAGATAAAGTTAAGACCTAATGAAAAACATAGAGTGAGGGTGAAGTGCAAAAATGCTAACTGTAAGTGGTTGTTATATGCTTCCATTCACAGGGACTCAGGTGATTTCATTGTGAAGAACTATCATCCTGTTCACAAGTGTATTCCATTAAACATGAACAAGTTGTGTAATTCAAAGTTAATTGCTAGAAAGTTTAAGGACAGAATTGTATCTCAACCATACATAAGGATTTGGGAAATTCAAGATTTGGTTAGAAAGACATTGGGTCTTTATGTTGGTAAGACTCTTTGTTACAGGGCTAAACAGAGGATTATGAAGGAAAACATGGGTGATTGGAAAGTGGAATTTGCCAGATTATGTGACTATGCAGATATGATCAAACAAACCAATCCTGGAAGCTCTTGTTGGGTAAAAATTGATAAGGAAACTGAACCAGGAAAGAACCTTTTTGTGTATTTTTATGTGTGCTTTCATGCATTTAAGCAAGGATGGTTGGAGGGGTGTAGGAATATAATTAGATTTGATGGTTGTTTTCTTAAGGGAGCTTGTAAAGGTGAGCTATTAGTTGCTGTTGGAAAGAATGGGAACAATCAAATGTATCCCATTGCCTAGGCAGTTGTGGATACAAAAACAAAACATAGTTGGAGCTGGTTCATAAGGTATTTAATTGCTGATCTAAACTTGGGAACTGGTGAAGGTTTGACTGTAATGTCAGATATGCAAAAGGTATTGATTATACAATTTTTTATATTTTAGTTTTAATTTGATCTTTACTTCTTCAATTACTTATTTTGTACATATTTTTTGTTAGGGACTTATTCCTGTCTTGTCAGAGTTGTTACCAAATGCTGAGAAAAGGATGTGTGCTAGACATATATGGAGTAACTGGCATGTGAACTGGAAAGGAGAAGAAAGAAGGAACCAGTTTTGGAGATGCTCAAAGGCCTCCTTTGAAGTCAAGTTTGGAGAAGAAGTTCATGCAATGTCCAAGCTAGGTAAGAAGGAAATAACAGAGGACTTGCTACATTATGATCCCAGAAATTGGTCTAGGGCCTTTTTCCAAACTCACTCCAAGTGTGATGTTGTAGAAAATAACATGTGTGAGACTTTCAATTCTTGGATCTTAGCTGCTAGACATAAATCAATTATTACCATGTTAGAGGATATTAGGCATAAAATGATGAACAGACATATAGACATGATCAAATTTGCTGAAACATGGATATCAGACATTGCACCTATGGCAAGGGCAATACTAGAAAGAAACAAGGAGTATTCAAATAATTGTAATGTTCAATGGAATGGGTTGAATGGTTTTGAGATTAGTGAGGGGGAATATTCATTTGTTGTTGACTTGGAGAAGAAACATTGTGACTGTAGGTTGTGGATGTTGAGAGGTATTCCTTGCCCTCATGCTAATTGTGCTTATTATAACTTGAATCAAAATCCTGATCAACATGTAGAGCACTGGTATAAGAAGGAAACATTTCTCAAGGCTTACATCCATTTTATCCAACCTATTCCCAATATGAGGATGTGGCCTAAAACTACAAATCCATCAATAGAGCCTCCAAAACCAAGAAAAATGCCAGGCAGACCTGGCAAGAAGAGAAGAAAGAGTAAGGATGAGCCAAAAAAATGGGGGAAACTTTCAAGAAAAGGAGTAAAGATGACATGTACCATATGCAAGAAAACTGGTCATAACAAAGCTGTGTGTGCAAGAGTAAGTAATACTTCATATTCACATTTGTAAATTGCTTAAAAGTTTATATATATTATAATCATATATTTTATTTTGTGGTGACATAGTATACGAGGGGGAGCACTTCTCAACCTACAAGTCAAGGAAATTCAAGTCAACAAAGTTATTCTCAAACAGGAGTAAGATTTGATTTACATATTTATTTGCATTAATTTTCACTGTATAAGTTATTCATATCTCCTTATTTTTGTTCAATAGGTTAGAACACAATCAAGTCAACAAAGTTCTGTTTGTGCTGATACCACTGCTGTGCCAAGAACTACTCAAACAACAGTAAGATTAGATTTAATAATTCATTTACATTTTCTAATTGATCTACAAGTTATTCATATATCCTTATTTATGCTATATAGTCTACAATGGGAGGTCCATCGCATTCTACTTTCAGAACCACATATGCAACTACACAATCAAGTCAACCAAGTTCTATTTGTGCTGACACAGAATATGTGCCAAGACGTCCTCAAAATAGGGTTCAAGTTGGGACTGGAAGAGGATTGGGAAGAAAAAAAGCTAATGTAAGAGGGACCCCAATTGTTACTGAAAGTGATAGTTCTTCTAGTCAACTGCCACCTTTATCAGGTCACAAAAGACCGTACAGTTCTGCCTCATTTGCTGCTGCTACTGGAGGTAACAGAAGGCCTGCAACTGGTTTTGGTGTTTACTCTAATCCTACAACTGGAGCCCAAGTATTTAATGTATGTTTACTCTGTTTTGGTGTATATTCTTATAGCTATATTATGATCTTACCTTATCTTACACTTTCTTTCTTATATTACAGCCTGGTACATCAAGTGAGAAGATTCTACATGGGCCAACAAAATTGAAGAGTGCTTCACCAACCAATATAGACATTGGCTTTAAACCTCGTGGCCTAAAATGGAAGGGAAAAGATGCAGTCAGCACCTCACAGTTGCAACAAATGAAAGCAAACAGGAAAAACTAAAAGTAGTTCATTTAGAAAGTTGTTATGATTTTGGCCCATGTTAAAAGGGTTTTCAACAAGCTACTCTTTAGTTTATTTTGAACACTCATGTGATGTATTTTTGAACCATGCCTTTGTGTTAGCAAGACTATGTATTTTTGAACCATGCAAGACAATGGTTGTTTATTACCTCTCAATGCATTTGTGTTATGTATTTTTCAACCATGACTTTGTGTTATGTATTTTCCAGCCATGCATTTGTGTTATTAGCTCAGTTTTTGAACAACAATTACACAGGGCAAGTCGATCCCAGAACTAATTTCAGAACACAGGGCAAGTTAACAAACAGAGGCAAGTTATAAAACAGAGGCAAGTTATAAAAGAGAAACTGATCAATTCACACTAGAAGTTACAAAAGAGACACTGATCAATTCACATTCAAACTTCCAATTTGATATAAAATATGAACTTAACAGACCAATTAAGTACAACACTAATTACGTGAAATAGCCTCCTAACTATTGCAAAACTAAACAATTAAGTACTACAATTTTGAACTACACAATATTAAAGAACCATTTTATAGTTAGCAGACAAAGAAAAACAATCACAACTCGGTTAAATTTGACATTTTCCCAATCCCTTTGGAGTTTAACTTCCTTGAGCTTCTTGTTCAATACCATCATCTTCTCTTCATTTTCATTCAATTGAAATTTCAAAGAATCCCTTTCTTCTTCAAGCTCTTTCACTTTTCTCTTTAGTTGATCAATCGGATTATGACCATCTATGAATCTATTCATTAAGGATGATTCATCAACATTTTCAAGTGACGGATCAATCCATCTAAAATAGCCACACCCACCATTTTCCTACAAACCACATAATAGTAATAAATATACAAAAATGTTGATTTTTCAAATAATACAATAACAGTAGTCTTTGTTCAAATAACTACAAACCTTTGATGCTTTGCATCCAAAAAATCGACGACCTGGGTTCAATGGAGTCCTCGAAGTTTTCAGTCGACAATAATAACCACACTTACATACATCAACTTCCTCGATATTCACTGAACTTTGTGACATTTGATAAAACACAACTGATTTAGAAGAGAGAAACGTTGGATATTTAGAGGAAGAAGAGAGAATTGGGGATTAGGGTTCTAAAATGTATTTGGGGGAAGAAGAAGATTTTAATGTTAAAATATCCAAGTTAACGTTGGATGTCTTAAATGCAGGATAAAAAATGGGAGAAAAAACAATTCACGCACCTGATTTGCGTGAATCACAAACGATTTGCCATGTAGGCAAAAAATGCTTAGATGGTTCAAATCTGGGGTGGTAGAGGTGTTCAATAGGTACTAGGTGTAGTTGAGGTGTCTAAATGAATAATGAGGACAACTTTGAGTGGCTACAGATGACTTTGGCCTTAAATTTTTTAAATAACTTCTTGTTGTCTGAAATTTTTAAAAATCAGGTTACTTATATTTTATATAATACATATATATTAAGACATCAATTTTATATACTTCTTTAATTGAAAGAAAATCATTGATAGCAAGTTAGTAACCAATTTATATATATATATATATATATATATATATATATATATATATTTTTTATTTTTTTTTGAAACCTGAAAATATATCAATATCATATAATTCAATAATTTTATTTTTTGAACATCACATATCATACCAAATTGATACACCTAGATCAATTCAAAAAAAATTAAACCATCAAAATCACTTTATAAACCAATTATATACACAAGTAGTTGTGAAAAAATATTAGTCTTACATACATGTAAGATTATTCGCTTCGGTTCAGGAATTTTTCAGTTTTTATTATAAATTAAAAAGACCATCTCAATTGTTTGGAACGGTTATACACTTAAATAAAAATCCACGGTTTTAACTTTTATTGAAAAAAATAATATAAATCGATTTGATACAATTAGGTTTAATTGATTCGGTCGATTTTTCATATTCTTTTCACACACCTACTTTCTATAATTAGTCAAATGTACTTTTTTCACAAACATGTTCTCCCCTTCGTTAGAATCCACCCTAAAGTTTCTTAGTAAACAGGGATCGTTCAGTAATGACCTAGTCTTTCGCAAGACTTCAGGTTTACCTCTTTTGTTAGGTCTCGACTTCTCCGTTATGATCGCGTTTTGTACCCCTACTAAGAACTTGAGAGACGGAACTATGACTCACGGAAGCGGTATACTAGTGCCTTATGCGGAACTCCTAAATAAGTTTTGTAAATAACTCTTTTCAAAAGATGCCTAAACGCCTAAAGCATCTCTAATTTTATTTATTTTAAAAAACATATAAGTTATGGAAAGAGAAAGTTTGTCTTTTAATATTGAAATTCAAAAATGAGACTTTATTTTTAATTAAAGAAAAGGACTTAACCGTGTGCTGCTGACTCGAAACGTGTGGACTATTTAAGCTCTTCGTCAACTGTGAAGATCACATACATGATGACATAATAATAATTATAAGAAAAATATTACACGTTTCATGCCTTTGAAAAGGTCAATTTTGCTTTTATATGTATTTTAGTTAAGTGTTTAGACATAGAACTTGGTGATTATTTTTTTAAAAAAATATAATTTTTTTAAAAAAATAATATATTTTTTTAAAGTTGAAAATTAAAATTGTGTTTGTCTATTGTACACAATAATAACAGATTCAGTGAAATTCCATAATTTGCGTATGGTGTAGAGTAGGGGAGTTCACGGTTTGGATAAAAACCGATCCAAACCGAAAAACCAAACCAAACCAAACCGATTTTATTTGGGTTTGGTTTGGTTTGGTTTTAGATTTTTGAAAACCGATAGTATTTGGTTTGATTATGGTTTTATTTGAAAAAAATCGAAGAAATAACCGAACCGAACCGATGAATTATATACATATATTTTATTAATATACATACTTAATATATTGTTTTTATAAACAATTTTAAAGATCTTATACATATTTTCATTAAAATTTCTTTATAATTTACTTATTGAAAGCAAAAATTCCCAAGATGAAACATTTATCTTATTGATTTCATGTATATGAGTGTCTATGACAATTCTTTGTGGGACTGAAAATGTTATTTTCTCTTCCTTCTAGACCAATATAGTGAATTTTAAAGCTTTATTGATAGTAAATTTAGTGATCGAAAGTTCAGTAATTTAAGTCATTCTAACTATATTCGTTTTGAATGGATTGTTGTCACTGCTATCACATTTTAAATGAATTGTTTCTTTTATTTTTGTGTATGGTTAATAACCGAATAACCGAACCAAACCAAACCGAAATCGATAATCACCAAACCGATAAATGTATATTATATTTGGTTTGGTTTGGTTTTGATAATTTTAAAACCAATTAAGTTGGTTTGGTTTTGATTTTGACCAATAACCGATCCAAACCAACCCGTGAACACCCCTAGTGTAGAGTGGTCAGAGGTGGGAAGTCACAATCGTCTAAAATGGAAACTTCTTCTTTACTTTTTTAGAGTATATCATTATTTTGAAATAAAAATAAGGTTTATGAAACACTTTATTGTCTCTTTAGACCTATATTTTGATCAGTAAGACAAATGATCGAGTTATTTTCCAGAAAAATAATGTGATGTATACACAGATTTTATCATTATCTTGTAAAGGTAGAACGGATGTTATCGAAATATGTTTGGATAGGAATACTAACTAGAATTATTTTAAATTTTGTGAGTGATTTGAAATGCAAATTATAACAACTATTCAACAAAATAAAATTGAATTGCCAAAAATTGTAACTATTTCCAAAAAAATAAAAATCATCCATGGCCAGACGGACCCTAGGTATAACCGTTTGTAACTGTTCATGACTTCAATTGCATAGCGTTTCGAGTTTGGACATAACTTCAATTGAAATACTTCTTGAAAATCAATATTTATTTATATGTTTGTTTATTATTCCAATTTCAAAATTAAAATTTTGATTTGAATAAAATTGAAGTATGATTTTATTCGCAAATCCTTAACTTTTCTAAAAATAAAGTAAATTCATGTATATACAGAAAGTATGAGATACTCATTTTAAAACTTTAAATTCAAATATGATTTGGGACACAATTTTTTTCTTCTTCATTTGATCAATTGTTTCAACTTCAATTTAAAATAGAGAATTTGAAGTTGAAAAATTGATTTTAAAGAGTATCTCAAGTGAAATAATGATTTTCACCTATTAAAACTTCTAAGTTTTTATTTTTTCGAAGTATGCTTCGTGTCCTAACACAACTATTTCCAAATATATTACTAACACTCTTTTGCAACTTTACTTTAAAATACTCTCTATTTTTTCAACTTCAACTAAAATTATTCATATAAAATTAATTATTTGCAAGTTAAAATTTCATCATTAAAATTTGAGAATCTAAGGGTAATCGTATGATAATTTTCTTTATGATCTCCTAGTTC